CCCCCCCCCCCCCCCCCCCCGGGCCCGCCCCTGGCCCCGCCCACCTCTCCCGCTGTTCCAATGGCAGGCGTCGCCAGCGAGAGCTCACTAGTCTACGGGTCAGCGCGGCTGCGAACTGCCGGATCTAGGATGCACAGACAGGCATGAGACAGTCGGGGCAGAAGATGCTGAATGAATTGCAGAGGGCGGGAGCTGGGTACTGTGGGAAGCTCAGCGGGGAGGGCAGGAGTCTCACCTGAGGGTTGCCAGCGGAGGCCAGCAGGTTGCAGAGCCCTGGTAAGGCGGCGGGGTCACGAAGGGCGATCCGGCTGCGAACTGCCGGATCTAGGATGCACAGACAGGCATGAGACAGTCGGGGCAGAAGATGCTGAATGAATTGCAGAGGGCGGGAGCTGGGTACTGTGGGAAGCTCAGCGGGGAGGGCAGGAGTCTCACCTGAGGGTTGCCAGCGGAGGCCAGCAGGTTGCAGAGCCCTGGTAAGGCGGCGGGGTCACGAAGGGCGATCCGTAGCTGTTCAGTGGCCTGGGGGACACAGGGGGTCGGAGTCGGGCCTTTCCCGCAGCCTCCCATTCCCCCTGGCGAATGCCCGCCTGCCCCGTACCTGACGGATGCGCACGGTGTCGGGCAACAGCAGTTCTCCTAGGATCGCCTCCAGGCCGGCGAGCTCCATGGCAGCGGCTGAGCCGCAGCTACCAGCCGGGAGGGGGGAGGGACGGCACGTGGAGGCGCTGAGCCCACTTCCGGCGGAAGGGGCAATACTCCACGCCCCTGTCGCCTTGGTGATTCAAATCACTTCCTACAATGAGCCCTGGCTCTGCGCCTTCCGTTAGCGCCAACTAGGAGGTGGAAACGGGACTCTAGCAACGTGGGCTCCTCCCGCTGATAGTTCCCAGGTTCCGTCGAATAACTCGAGTTTAGTACCTTCAGAGGTGGATCCAGCTTTCCAAAGGATCATGCTCCTAATAGCAGGCTTCGAGTTTCTATAGCAGACCAAAACCTCCAACTACAAGATCCTTTTTTCTTAATAAATTTTATTTTGATAATTGTAAAAAGTAAATCAGGACAAAAACTAAAGGCAACTTAAAAAGTTCAAATATATACTCCTTATCTAATAGAGATTCATACTTTCCAGGCCCTCTGTGGGGAAGGGAGGCCCACAGGGCAAAGGGGACAATATCAGCACACAATTCAGTCACCCAGTCAGAAGAGAAGCTGTCAAGAGAAGTCAGTGGGGGCATTAAGAGAGGGAGAGAAGAGCAACAGTTCTACCACTCAGAACTCAGTCCATCTTGAGGTTAACATAGATATAACGGATGAACTTTAGGGAAGAAAAAAAGGAAATGGTGCCCAGCATGAGGAAGAAGACATAACCGGTGAGTAAGGAGTAGCCAAAGAACTCTACTGTCTGTACTGCCCCTGACATGTTGGAGCGCCTAGCATAGTAGAAAACTGAGTAGAAGAAGATGAAGAGGCCGGTGGAGCCGACACTCAGCACAGATCGCCACCACCATCGGTAATCCTCTCCAGACAACTGGAAGTAGGTGAGTGCAATGGAGATGCAAGCCCCCACACTTAGCAGGATGGCGAAGACAAAGAAGAGGATGCCGTACAAAGTGTACTGTTCTCGACCCCAGACTGTGGCAAAGATGTAGTACAGCTCCACAGAGATGGCACTGTAAAGAGATGATACACAGGATTAAAGGGCTGTGCACTGTACACACCATGAGCCGATATCCACCCTACACCCTCCCGTGTTGTTGGTCACTGTGGAAAGTGACTTCATTCCCTGTCCCACATTTCCCAGTTACATGGATATTCTTATTTATGACAAGTTGTTCTCATTTCATAAACATCTTCTCTGAGAGATCAAAAATAAGGATCTTATTCATTTTCTTTTCCACATTATATGCCTGACACAAAGAGGTAGTCAGCATATTGAGTAAGTAATCAAATGGGCTTTAAGTCCCACAGGATGCCTTTGAATACAAAAATAAACCAGGACCTAGTTTCTGTTTACTGCTTATAGGAATTATGTGCGGCTTAAAGCCCATTTGATTACTTATTCATCAAGAAGGAAAGCTTTACAAGATGGATACTGCCATATCTGAACTGACTGAAGCTCAGTATACCAGGGGATAGTAGACATCATTTAACGGTACTGCCAAACCAGGGATTATCACTGGCTTATGATAATAGGTGAACTGAAGTCAAGAACCTGAGTGTGATGGCTATGAAATAAAGAGAGGATACCTGAAAGGCAGGAAGCCTCCAACAGTCATGTGGATGACAGCAGATTTGTACCAAGGCTGGGGTGGGATCTCTCGGGCGATGTTCTTGGTGCGACAAGGTGCATCAAAAGAGTTAGCGTTGTTCTTCCCAAAGATGCCTCCAATGACAGTGAGAGGAAATCCTACTAGCAGCCAAACTGTCAGAAGCAGCAGGATGGTGGTGGCCGGCAGAGCCTGCGTTGAACCATTAGCCCAATGTACCGAGTTGACCACACTCCACGTCAGGAAGAAAGGCACTGCAGGGATGGCCCCCAGAGGGGGGAGGATCAGCACTAGGGGCTACATCCCAGTGGCACTTACTCAGACTGGACCTAAAGCAGGGGGTAAACCAGCCTGCCACACTGTAACAGCCACCTGTCCTTCTGGATGTCCATAAAAGCCACTGCTTTCACCTCTACCCTATGATATCCCACTGTTCTTTGTTCCTTGTCAGTACCCTGTTCCTGACCCAGTGTCAAGGCAATTGTTGCTACATCATGATCTGGCAGTGACACAAATCCTCCAGTGGCCTGTCTTTCTGCGGTACTGGTGATTCCTAGTAAAGACATTCCTTTGGATAATGCCGTTTTCAGAAAGCCCTGCTTCAAATATATGATGGGACATAAATCTAACACTTAAAATTAGGAACAAGTAGGATTCAGAATACAGATTACTACTGCCTTTTTTCAAACCTTGTGTGTATGTGTGTTTTGTTTTGTTTTTTTGGTACTGGGAATTGAACTCAGGTCCTTGTGCTTGCAAAGCAGGCAGTGGAACCACTGAGCTAAATCCCCAGCCCTGTGTGTGTTTTCTTATTTTGCTTTCTCTTCTTTGTTTTGTAAGACGGAGGTCTTGCTATGTAGTTCATGCTGGCCTTTAACTCACTGTGTAGCTGGGCTGGCTTCTAACTCACATGGCAACACTCCTGTCTCAGCCTCCAGAATGTTAGGATTACAGGTGTGCCTATCTTCAAAAGAAAACAGAGAGTATAAAAAATAAATTCAAGGGCTAGGGATTTAGCTCAGTGGTGCGCTCTGCTGCCTGCCTTGAAAGGGCAAGGACCTGCGTTTGATCCCCAGTATCCACCCCCAAAATAATAAATTCAAAGTGTTATTTAAGTATAATAGGTGAGAATTCAGTCTTAGATTCAGATTGCCTGGATCTGAAATATGGTTCACCACTTTTTAGAAGTATAAGCTTGGGCAAGTTATTTAGCTAGGCTGAAGTTCAGTTTTCTTATATGTACAACAGAATGTTACCATCTACTTCATAGTTATTGTGAGGATTTAATGAGATGAAAATATGTCAGGTGCTTACTACACTGCCTAAAATGTTTTAAGAACTTTTTTGGGGGGCGGTTCCAGGGATCAAATGCGGGTCCTTGCGCTTGTGAGACAGGTGCCAGAACCACTGATCTAAGTCCCGGCCCAATGTTTTAAGAACTTAAAGATTTTTGATTATTCAAAAGAAATTTTTCTTTCCTTCCATCCTTTTTCTCCCTTCCTTAATTCTCTTTGTTTGGCCTAAATTCCTTCCCTTAAAGCCTCATACTAATTCTATTCCAGTTTCCATGATGTAGTTCTAGTTTTTGTTTTTGTTTTTTTTTCTTTTTTTGAGACAGAGTCTTTCTGTGTAATCTAGGCTGGCCTTGAACTTCCTATGTAGCCCAGGCTAGCCTTAAACTCTGAGTGATCCTCCTGCCTCAGCCTTCCAAATGCTGGGATTATAGGCGAGCACCACCACACCTGGTATGCGTTCTTAGTTCTTAAATCCAGGCAGACTCATGGGGAAGGGGAAGTCCTCACCAGAGAACAGACTGGTTGTGAGAATGATGTTCCACACCCAACGCTCGCCTCCAATCTGCCGGTAGAAGTGGCTGGACACGTAGCCAGAGACGCAGCAAGTCAGAGCATACAACAAGATGGCTGCTGAATTAATGGCTCCATGGCGGTGCACATTGAACATGCCCAGCAGTGCCATGACAATGATGCCTACAAGGTGGTAGTAGAAAGCCCGTTAGGTCTCATCTGTTCCTCTCCTTGCAATTTCAAAAGACTCAGCCCTCCCTTCTCCCAGACCCAGGGTGTCCAGCAAAACAACCTAGCCCAAATCTGTTGTCCAGAAAATCCACAAAAGAAAACTGGGGATTTAGCTCAGTGGTGCTGCCACTTGTCTTGCAAGCACAAGGACCCAAATTGGGTTCCCGGTACCAAAAAGAAAAAGATGACACACATCCTCACTAAAGCCACTCTAACCCCTAGGTCTACCTTTCACCTTGGATAGGAGATCCACAGACCTTATCTTTTCTTGTTTTTCTTTTTTCTTTGGTAGTACTGGGGCAGGAAACTAGGGCCTTCGCCTATGCTGTATCCTCAGTCCTTTATTTTTTATTTTAGTTTTTTGAGACAGAGTCACACCATTTGTTCAAACTGGCCTTGAACTCAATTTGTAGCCCAGGTTGGCCCTGAACTCCTGGTAATCCTACTCAGCTTCCTAAGTGCTGAGATTACAGGTGTGTGCCACCTACCTGGCTTTCCCAACCCTTTAAAAATAAAGGGCTGGGGATTTAGCTCAGTGGTTCTGGTGCCTGCCTCGCAGGTACCAAAAAAATAAATAAAAAACAATTTTTTTTTTTTTTAATAGGGTCTAAGTCACTAAATTGCCCAGGCCAGGCTCAAACATGTGATCCTCTCTTCAGGGATTGAGGACTGGGACTACAGGCATGTATCACCAAACCTGACAGCACAGGCCTTTCCTAACAAGCTACCTACCCCTTGAAAGAAATCCCCAATTAATTCTTATCACCTCACCGGTGCCAAGGGCCAGGAATTGGGAACCCACGCCAAGCACAGCACAGAGCAGACCACGGTATGGAGGGAAGCGGAAGACATCTGTATGGATAATTTTCCAGCCATTGTCACCCTGGTCAAAGTCATCACCAGAGCCTCCAGAGCTAGTTTCCTCATCCAGGTTGTACCGAGCCAGGTCATTCCGAAGCACACGCATTAGAATGACAGCCACAAAACCAACCAGTAAAAACACAAGCACCATGGAGTTGATAATGGACAACCAGTGGATTTCCAATGTTCGGGGAAAGAAACCACCATCATCACCACGCCGCCTGTCACTCCGACGTTCTACTGAAGTCTCAGACCAGCGCACACTGTAAGTGTGGGTAAGGCCTAGGAACTCATCAGATCGTAACCCGTCCAAGCTGTGGGGCTTGACGTCCCGTACTGAAACATTGGCAAATATAATTCGATCTCCATGGAACTCTAGATGGAAGTCCAAATGAGTCCAGAGTCCTATCTTGTGGCTGTGTGGCAGGAAGCCACTCTCCTCCATGTAACCCACAAAACCACGGATTGGCAAGTCGTCTACCACAAATTCAAAGTAATACAGTTCCTCAATTGCCTGGCGAAGCTGCTCCACCTGTAAGAGCAAGTCAGGAGTCAGTCATACATGCCCTTAGGGTAG